AATCATCCTGTCACCGTAAACTGACCTGTCAATCATCTTGTCACAGTAAACTGCCCTGTCAATCATCCTGTCACCGTAAACTCACCTGTCAATCATCTTGTCACCGTAAACTGGCCTGTCAATCATCTTGTCACCGTAAACTGGCCTGTCAATCATCTTGTCACAGTAAACTGGGCTGTCAATCATCTTGTCACCGTAAACTGGCCTGTCAATCATCCTGTCACCGTAAACTGACCTGTCAATCATCCTGTCACCGTAAACTGACCTGTCAATCATCCTGTCACCGTAAACTGGCCTGTCGATCATCCTGTCACCGTAAACTGGCCTGTCGATCATCTTGTCACCGTAAACTGACCTGTCAATCATCTTGTCTCAGTAAACTGGCCTGTCAATCATCTTGTCTCAGTAAACTGACCTGTCAATCATCCTGTCACCGTAAACTGGCCTGTCAATCATCTTGTCACCGTAAACTGACCTGTCAATCATCCTGTCACCGTAAACTGGCCTGTCAATCATCTTGTCTCAGTAAACTGCCCTGTCAATCATCCTGTCACCGTAAACTGGCCTGTCGATCATCTTGTCACCGTAAACTGACCTGTCAATCATCTTGTCTCAGTAAACTGACCTGTCAATCATCTTGTCACCGTAAACTGGCCTGTCAATCATCTTGTCTCAGTAAACTGACCTGTCAATCATCCTGTCACCGTAAACTGGCCTGTCAATCATCTTGTCTCAGTAAACTGACCTGTCAATCATCCTGTCACCGTAAACTGTTTGTAGTTCCTCCTCCAAAGCGCAATGGGTTGTGGGTAATATTAGCTGTTATAATGAGCACGGATCCACACTTGGAAAATCCACCGGAAATAGTGAATAGTGAACATAATCTTTTCAACATATATGCTTTGGGACACACTTATTCTAATCTCACACACTGTTTAGGATGGATAGAGTGCAATTGAGAAGCAGGGATAGTGTTTTTCGCTTAGGCTACTCTAGGCTATAGTAGTGAAGTATGCGATTTCGGCCGCTGCCAATCACTCAAATTCACTACAGTTGTAACGTTTAGCATGAGATATAGCGCATGCCATGGAAACCTAAATTAAGTCATTCTTTATAGCACAAAAGTCCTTTAAATGTAAATGAGGCTCATTCTGGATCCACAAATGATTAACATGACGCTATTCAAAGAAAGCATGCTATAAATGAACGTTTATATATGATTGCATGAACAGGTAACAACCACATCAACAACGCGTGCGATTCACTAGTGAACTCCCTCCTCAGACCATCATATTTAAACCGGTGTTTGCTGTTGTAATGACATTTTCCCTTGAGTCTGTGTCTTAATAAACTGGTAGTCTGTGACCAGCATCAAACCAGCAAACACAATAAAACATCACGAAACAACACGTCTGACCTTTCCAATCCAATTACACGGGAAATGCCAGTCTTGGAGACGGTCTCGAGTCCTCATGCTCACTGACCCGATACTGATGGAGATACTCAGAGGATCTGGGTTTGGGACGCTGGTCTTGGATCAGTCATCTGGAAAGAATTAAGGATTTCTTTTTATTTTGTACCGTGTGAACAGCCAGATGATGGTAGTGACGTCATATAAATGATGTCGGATATATTTAATCTCCATCCAGAACATTCCAGAAATCTGAAGTCACTCCATAAATAAAACACACATTTAGCTTTATCATTGCACATCTGGCGACATTTAAAGCATCACACCATTAAACCGCTCATATTTATTGGCATTATTACCCTTTTTAGTGTCTTTGGGTTGCCAGTCATGCAGATTCGGTCCTGTCACCCGGTCATGAACATTCGTGTCTTCACAACAGCCAAATCCAATTGTTTAGTCTTTTGAATAAATTTTACTTAAAAAGTATCTCTAAAAGACATATATCTAAAAAGCCTTGTCAAGATTCCTCAAGATAATACACACACCAGATTTAATTGTAAAAAAAAAAATGTGTTTACAACAAAAATATATTAATAGGTTACTCAAAATATTTAAGTACCAAACATAGATTTATTTGTTGAAAATGTAGTTTCTTTTTTGTTACAATTACAACTCAACAGAATCATTTCCGCCAGTGCATTCATGTGTGAGCCAATCTGATTTTCCACTGCGTCGACGTGTGTGTGTGTGTGTGTGGATTGTGTGTCCTTTACCAAATGTACACACTGATGGTGTGAGATAATAAAGTAGTTTGAAATATAATGACCATAGATGGCAGAAAACCTCCTCCACACATTTGATGAATGGCTATACTCTCTTCTGAGTCATTTCATCCAAATATCAACATACGGTTTTGAGGTTAATTGATATAATTTAGAGATCCGTGGCATTATGTTCAGTTTTAGTGTCTGTTTGTTAATGAGGGATTTGTGGAGTAAAATGAAGTCAACAGTTGAACTGGCACAGAAGGTTATAATTTTTTAATTGAACACTTATTGTAATTCACGCGGTTGTTTTTTAATAATTCCATGATGTATATTCCACACATATTTGCTATTCATTACAACCTACATTTGTCAGAATTATTGGCATCCCTGGTAAATATGATCAAAGATGGCTGTAAAAATAAATCTGAATTGTTTATCTTTCATTTAAAAAATGCACAAAAATCTAGCCTTTCATTGCAGTAAAATAATTAAAAGTTTTTGGGAGAAATCACATTATGCTTTTCTCCAAAACGTTGGCCATAATTATTGGCACCCCTAGAATTTTTAATGAGTAAAATATCTCTTAAGTATGAGTTGTTAATTTGAACCTTTAATAATAATAGATGACCCTGTATGTTTACAGCATTAGTTGAGAGAGATTTGAATATCAGGCCATACTGTACCTGATATTTAGCCAAATTAATCGATATTGAATAAAGATCAGAATTGAATCTTTTGAATCTCCGAGCTAAACTCAAAGGTTGACCCAGAGCTTTAATCTGCGAGATTAATTTCTAACGATTACAGTGATTTGTTTCTTTTTAATAAACATGAATATGCATCCATAACATCCAGAAAGAATGATATACAGATTCCCCTCATATTCAAATACACACTTTTTCACATCGGACATGACGACAGAGCGTGGATGAGAGCAATAAAACTAACCAATGATCCAAACCGAACCCTAAACATTGACTTCTTAGACCATCCATAGGATTAAACTGTACTGTACCTGGTATTAAGGCCCTACTGTACCTGATGATCTGCTGGATTATCCAACAGTGATCCTGTACGGTTCAGGTGTTATAAGGTTAATAATTCTAATGAAAGCTGACCCATCATATCAAACCCTTCACACTCAGTCTGTGGTCTGTTCAGTTGAGACAGTGAGCATTTGTTCTTAGGAAACACTGACATCTGGTGGCCACTATGAGACATGACAGCGCTTTATTTATTTTATTTTTATTTTATTTTTAAAAAGCATCATAACAGTAAAGTATACAGAGGCCTATTTGCATCACATAAGAAAACATTTATATGTTATCTTTATTAATTAAATTTCAGTTGAATTAAGTCTTTTGTTCTTCGGAAACACTGACATCTGGTGGCCACTATGAGACATGACAGCGCTTTGTATTTATTTTTTAAAAGCATCATAACAGTAAAGTATACAGAGGCCCATTTGCATCACATAAGAAACAAGTTTATTTGTTATCTTTATGAATTACATTTCAGTCTTTCCTTCACACAGATCTGAAGAAATATAGTGTACATGCCGTTTTGAAAGCGCTGTATGGGTTTGAACAACACCAGGGTGAGTAAACTCTGCTATATTCCTGTGAGTGTCTGTGTTGCTTTGATGGATTACAGGCTGATCTGTGATTCATGTTAGCCAGATAACAGCTATAACTGATGGCATATTCCTGTCATTCTGCCCAAATCCCATAATCCCCTGGGATTATTGAAACAGTTGTTGAGTGTGATGTTGTTTAAACAGTTCAGCATTGAACACACAATACTAAATCGGCTAAAGATGGAGAGATAAAGCACTTTTTAAAGTCTGATATGCATGCATAAATCATCATTTTTACATGAGTTTATATATTTGCTGACACCATGTGTAATTTTTGGGATAATTTGTAGGGAGGTGGATGCCATTTTATTTGAGAATTAGTTTTCTCCTGTCTTATATAGAGAGGAAGTGTGTTTGTCTTTTGATTTCTTTTACTTGCACTGCAAAAAATGTGTTTCTTACTTAGTATTTTTGTCTTGTTTCCAGTCCAAATATCAAACATTTCTTAAATCAAGATGCATTTACTAAAGTAGTAAAATGCCATAAGATATTAAGTTGCTTTCTGGGGGGTAAAAATCAAAATGAAGTGAGTTTTTGCTTAAAAAAAAAAAAGCTCAATTATTTGCCAATGTGGTAAGAAAAATAATCTTGTTTCTGTTTGAATTACGATTATTTTTCTTACCCCATTAGCAAACAATTGAGCTTTTTTTAAGCATGAACTCACTTCATTTAGATTAATTCCCCCGGAAAACAGGACATAATATTTTTACTCATCCAGTAATGCATCTTGAATTAAGATTTTTTTTATATTTTGACTTGAAACAAGACAAAAATACTAAGTAAGAAACGCATGTTTTGCAGTGTATGGAAGTTATTTCTAAAAAAAAAAAAAAAAAAATCTTTAGTAAGAATTTCTTTTGTTTGTTATTATGTTGTTTCCCCTCCTGAAATCTTTATATCCCACACTGATTATGTACAAACAAAACATGTGAAATCTTTTAATGTGTGCTTGTCCTGCATGGGATCTCCCCGCAACTTTTGTTACTATAAGATAGGCTATTAAAAAAACACGTAAATGTCTAAGAACCAAAGTACTTATTCCTGATGGAGATATTGAACGTGAAGGAACAATACAAGTGTTTTTTTTTTTTTTTTTTTTTTTACACATACATATAATAAGGAAGTAACATAAATGTGAGGGTCAAAGTCACCAATGACCAGTGACGTCACCCAGGGTTCAGTTCCGTTCAGTGACTGAAGGTGCGCGCTGCGTGTGTGCACCAGCGTTCAGTGCGCGTGCCTGTGACCATCATCATCACCACCACCACCACCAACCATCATCATCATCATCATCACCACCACCAAGCAACATCATCATGATGATGACACGCGTGCGGTCCG